GTGTGTTGTGTGTTGTGTGTTGTGTGTTGTGTGTTGTGTGTTGTGTGTTGTGTGTTGTGTGTTGTGTGTTGTGTGTTGTGTGTGTGTATGTGTGTGTGTGTGTGTGTGTGTGTGTGTGTGTGTGTGTGTGTGTGTGTGTGTGTGTGTGTGTGTGTGTGTGTGTGTGTGTGTGTGTGTGTGTGCTTTGCCTCCCACCCCACTCCCACGTCCCCCGCGCCCCCCGAGAGCCTCGCACCAAAGTGCCACTCCTGCGAAGAGGCATTCCAATTTGTCCAACTCCAAAGCCCTGGATCCGAACATATTGACGCCTCACGTTTGCTTCCACCCGCTTCCGCCGGCGGAGACGTCCCCAGTTTACTTTCGCCAGCTTCGGCCGACCTTCCGCCGAGGCATAGAAATCATCTTATCGATCCCTCGAAGACGAAGTTCACAATCTGGAACGCAAGAGGAGGAGTAGGAGGAGGAGGAGGAGGAGGAGGAGGAGAAGCAGTAGGAGGAGGAGGAGGAGGAGGAGCAGCAGTAGGAGGAGGAGGAGGAGGAGAAGGAGGAGGGAATGAGAAGCCCGACGCTACGATCCCAGTCGGTCTGACTGTGCCCAACGTAAACAGGAGTGAGAAGCCCTCAGCGAGGAGGAGTGAGGAGTGAGGAGTGCGGAGTAAGGAGTGAGGAGGAGGAGGAGCAGGAGGAGGAGGATTGACGCTACAAGTTCAACCAATCTGAGTTTGCTTTGCGAGAAAAAAATAGAGATGGAGGAGGAGGAGAAGGAGGAGGAGGAGAAGTGGAGGAGGAGGAGGAGAAAGCGAAGGAGGAGGAGGGGGAGGAAGAGGAGGAGGAGGAGGAGGAGGAGGAGGAGGAGAAGGTCGGGCTCGTGGTGACCCCTGACGTCTTGCCCCCCTCTGCATTGCTATGCCCGCATTGGAAGAAATGGCTAGAATCACACACCTTGAGTCCGACCAGCCGACCGAGGAGAAGTAGGAGGCGAAAGGGGAGGATCATAATGGTAAGGGGAAGGACGAGAAGGGGAGGGGGAGGAGCAGGAGGAGCAGGAACCATGCAAAAGGCATACATATGCAAAGCGCCCGAACGTGCTAACATGAGAATCGCAACCCCCACTTCAAGCTAATCACCCGCATGCTCTTATCATGCCCTTCCGCAAAGCCCTTCCCCCAAGCGCCTCTGGCTCAGAGATGAGGAAATAAATGCCCGTGAACATGTAGCACATCATAAACTGGGGTGCCGAGAGACTCCGTCGCACATCACCAGCGACAGGTACGCCGCAAATCATAATTCAAGCTCCAGGCGAGGTGATACAAAAAGACAGTCACAGCCGAAACATATGCAGTTCAAACGAATCTGAAAACATGTAAGCGTGCTTGCCAGCGTGGACCCCAAACAGAACATCATTGCATTCTGGACCCACACAATTCAAACAACATGGTGCAATCTATCTATTGCAAGCTATACACTACATAACCGTGGGCGCCCGACAGGCGCCCGTAGGCGGGCACTGGGCGAACACCCAGTCCACCCTCCCAATTACTTTGAACAAAAATAGGAACCCCACGTGCAAGGACTGTTCGGGGAACGCCCCTGCAACGACGTCATCTGTCCAAAATCCTTGCTAGAAGTCCTGCCTGCCACATCCAGATCGTAAGGCGTCATTTCTACGCGAACACAGATCCTTGCCAGGCCCATCCTGGGCCTGGATGAGTATGGCCAGGACTAGTGCTGGTGAGTGGTCACCGTTCCCGAGTCCTGAACAAGACCTGTACTGGCATTGACAAGGCCAAGCTGAACCCTTCGTGATTGCCCACATCGGCTGTACATCTCGATCCCCGCGGCTCCAGATCGCCGCAACACTCTTGAATCCGCTCCCGCCAGCGCACGATATGTGTACATATGTATATGTACACATTTGTATGCCCATACATGTAAGACAGCGTGGGCCCCAGTCAATGGATTTCTAACAACTTATGTTGTGCAACGTGTGTTGTGCAACCTATGTGGTGCCATCCATGTAATGCTATATGTGCTGTCCAAACCATACTATGCAACCTACGTGGAACAATCTACCCATGCTCGCAGTGAGTTGTCAAATTCACTGCTCGCGCAAACATCTAACCCACCCGCCCGCCGCAATTTGGTTGGCAAAACCCATGCGACGGCGATTGCGATGAGTCCTTGGCGTTGGCTGGTGCATCTCTGCGGCCACTCTAGCCCGCGGGTGCTCGTGCGCGCAACGACCAGCTGATGCGGCGCGACCGACGCGGCCGCGGTGGCGCTGACCGCTGGGCACTTCCAGCGGGCATGTCAATGCGAGTCGGTGACTTGGGCGGGCGCGGGATCATGGCGACGCCGGCAAAGATGGACACGATGATGAGAGTACCGGTGATGGTGACGATGGTGGCGTTGACGACGGCAAGGCCAATGACGGCGCCGATGTTGATCACGCCCGCCGATAATGATGACGATGTCCTCGCGTCGGTGATGAAGGTTTTGGAAGGAGTTCGACATGCGCGCGCGGCCGACGTGCGCGAGTGGCCCGCGTGGTATTATTTGACACGGGTCGTGCCCCCCAAGCACGCGCGCAAGGGCGTTCGGATGAGTTCAACATGCGGCGCGAGAGGCCCGTTTGGCAGAATGTGATGACAACGTTGAAAAAACTGTGGCTTGCTGAAAAAAATCCGGAGCGAACGCAAAGGCTTTTTTTGAAAACTGATATTGCAAAACCACGTGCTGCTTATGTGTTTTCGATATACTCGCTTTTCAAATCCTTACGCAATCCCGGTAGTTTGAAAGATTCCGGCATGCGCGCGCGACGACGCGCGCGCATGTACTTCGTCTCACTTATTTTGCAAAGGACTCTTGCGGCAGAACGCGCGCAAGGGCGTTCAAATGATTCCTACATGCGTGCGCGAGAGGCCGTTTGGTAGCATTGTATGAAAACGTTGACAAAGGTATATTTTTCGTAAGAATGTGCAAGAGCGCGAGCGCATTATATATATATATAAAAATCCTTGTTGCGAAACCGATTGTTTTTTACATGCCTTCGTGACAATCGACTTTGATATCCTTACACAACCTAAGGTTCAGGTGTTCGAAGGCTTTCGGCATGCGCGCGCGACGACGCGCGCGTGCGCACTTCGTCCCATGTTTTGCAAAATGATCTTGACAACTGATGATTTTGGATATAAGCGAATGCGCGCACAGCATTTGTTGCAAAGGATGCGGGGGGAAGTGTTACCGGCCTGGGTGGGGTGGTATGAAAAAATCGGATGAACGATGGGGCATAATCATACGTAAATTACGATACGAGAAGGGGGGGGCGGTTCAATACAGGGGGGGGTCCTGATGCTCTTGTAGAAAAGAGAGCATGCGTGATGCAGTATCCGCCACCTTGCCTCTGGGCACGGAGTGGGCGTGTCGTGAGGTCCTCTGCCCAATCCTCGAGGCCTGGATCCTCACTCCCGAGGAATCTGTACAGAGGGCCCGGGCCCCAAACTCAGAACTGTGGCAGGCTCCGCGCGTGCCCCCCGGGCCTTCCCGCGCGCCCCCTGCCTGGTCTTTGGGAGGTGGTGGCGCGCGAGCTCGGGCCCCCAAGGGCGCAAACCGTGCCATGCCTCGAAGAAAACGTACATCTTCAGCATACTCGCCTTTGTCGTCTTGACACCGTCGAAGACGGCCCAAGGGGTTCCCAAGATCGTCCCAAGACGGCCAATGAGGCTCCCCAGAGGGCCCCCAGACGGCCCAAGGGGGCCCCAAGACGGCCCGAGAGGGCCTCCAAGACGGCCCAAGAAAGCCTCGAGAGGGCCCTGAGAGGGGCACAAGAGGGGGAATGCGAATTGATATTTCTAGCACTACCCCCAAAGATGGCCCCCAGAGCCTCCCAGGAGCCCCCGAGGCACCCCCAAGAGGCCCCGAGAGGCCTCCAAGACGGCCCCAAGAAGCCCCCAAGAGGCCCGAGCAGCCTCCCAGATGCACCCAAGAGCCATCCAAGAGGCCCCTGAGAGGCATCCCAAGGTACCCTCGTATTCATCCACGAGGCTCCTGACCCACAGTCCAGGCACGGTGGCGGATTGGGCCGAAGGCCACTAGAGAACTTCCACAATCGTCGCAAGCTCTGACTCCTTCTGGGGGTCGGCGGAACGGCGTAAGCCACTTGAACAAACATCCCTAGAACATCTCAGGACGCTCTCCCCCGAATTCGGACCTGTCGTACTTTGGTTGATACTCCGACTTCAAATTGTGTCGGAAATGCACACCAAACGGTGCGAACAAACAGTGCGGAAATCCCAGCCTCAGAAAAGTAGGGCGGATGTTCCCGCAAAGATATGGAGGGAACAGCGACGGAAAAGCAGGGCGCATCAAAGGAGCTTGAACGGCGGTGGGGTTGAAATGTCCGCCCTACTGTCGGACTCGCCCAAAGTACGGCGGATCCGAAGACAGGGTCCGGACCCTCTGTAGGGACGCTCCCATTAGCTTCTCATGAACCTCTCACCTGCTCCCCCTTGTGTTTCTCCTCCTCCTCCTCCTTCTCCTCCTCCTCCTCCTCCTCCTCCTCCTCATCATCATCATCATCATCAGCAGCAGCAGCATCATCCTAACCATCAGCATCATCATCGTCATCGTTATCATCAGCATCATCATTATCATCAGCATCATCAGCACCATCATCATCATCAGCATCATCATCATCGTCATCAGCAGCAGCATCATCAGCACCATCACCATCATCATCATCATCATCATCATCATCATCATCATCATCATCATCATCATCATCATCATCATCATCATCATCATCACCACCATCATCCCCCTCCTCCTCATGCGCTTCCTCCTCCTCCTGCTCCATGCTCATCAGTCCCACCTTCTCCTTTTGCAAATTCCCTCACCCCTCCCTGCCGCTTCCTCCTCCTCCTCCTCCTCATCCGCCTCCTCCTCCTCCTCCTCCTCCTCCTCCTCCTCCTCCTCCTCCTCCTCCCCCCCCTTCCCCGCCTACTCTCCCTCCTTCTACCGTTCCCCCTTCCCCTTCCCATGCCATCCGCTGCACCTCCTCCTCCAACCCCTGCTCCCACCCCTCGTCCTCCTCCTCCTCCTCCTCCTCCTCCTCCTCCTCCTCCTTCTCCTTCTCCGCCACAACTACACATTATGAATACAACTCTTCTCTTTTCCATGGCCCCGTACAGAAGATCATCGGCCCTCTCCGCGTGCTGTTTTTTTTGCGCAGGATGTCAACAACTGCTGTGCCCCATAGCTGTGTTTGCAATCCGATTGCTTCGGTGTTTCAAGATGGCACATACTTCCGCTGCAGCGTGAGCCTCATTTTTTGAATAAACGCTCTGCTCCCGTGGTTCAACATAGCGCTCTCGCCAAAGCGTGGGCCACGTTTATGAATCCGAGTCGTTATTCATCGTTGTCGCCTCCCTCAGTTCCCTTCCTCCCCCTTCCCCTGTCCCTCCTGTTCCTCCCGCTCCTTCCACTCAACTTCCTGCTGCTGCTCATTCTCGTCATTGTCCTCCCGCTCAACATCCTGCTCACCCGCCAGCACCTTCTCCTGTGCACGCATCTCCCCTTATTCCGAGTGTGCATCGCACGATGTGGTCTTGTTGTGGGAGTTGTAGGTCGGCTGTGACACGCGTCCGCGGATAGAGAAATATGATCGACCCACGAATTAGGAAAGTGACATAGAAATGTGAGGCATGGCAGCGGTTTCACGACACCTGATTGGGCGACGGGCAATTGCAATGCTGAGTGTATCGATCTTGGTGTACCGTGCCAAGGGCTGTGCTGTGCTGTGCCGTGCTGAACTGCGATGTGCCATGCCGCGATTGTGCTCTATAGCGTTGTGGATCGAGTCCTCCTTAGCAGTCGAGTCCTGACCGAACTGATCTGGATCTTAAGCTCGAACTGCCTGAGCACATAGTAGCCGCTCCAGAGCCAGGTGAAGTGGAACCGTGACCTGAGCACGTGATAACAAGCGTTTCACCTGAGACATCCTCTGAATTGTGGTCCCCAGAAGAGGACCGATCTATCGCACAAAGCAATTGTTTCGCCCGAGAAATCCTCAACGCATTATGCAACACAAGCGTTTCGCTCGAGACATCCGCAACAAAAACGAAAATGCTTACTTTACCACGTGTTTTATCGATCGGAAGTTCAACAACCATCGTCTGGCTCGGGCAATCCTCAAAATTCCAATTCGCTGGCCCTACGCGACCTCGTTACCTATCGCAGACTCAATTCGCCGGCCCTACGCAAATCGAGGTCAGGGGGAAACCATCTAACATAGAACCCTGGGCGTCAGCCCTCTCCGAGAAAAACAACGCAGTGGGAAGGAATGGAAGGGATGGTGCAACTAACATGTCCTCCTCCCCCCCTTCCGCCCCTCCCCCTCCTCCTCCTCCTGCTTGCCCATCATCCTGCTACTCCTCCTCGTCCTCCACATCCTTCCCCCTCCGTTCCTCCTCAGCCCCCAGCGAGCAGAGAAGAGATCAGGCGCGGGGCCCAGTCGACGGTGTTGACTATGATGCGGCCGAGCATGAACGACAGCCGATTCAGGCCGTGGCTGGACTCCCGCCAGAAGATCGGCTGGTCTTCACTGGCACGCCGCGCGCGCGAGACAGGAGGGGGGGGGGGGGGGGGGCAACGACAGGGAGGCGGATGAGGAGGGCGAGGAAGAGGGCCACGACGGGGAGGAGGAGGAGGAGGAGGAGAGGAGACGGGGAGGAGGAGGAGGAGGAGGAGGAGGAGGAGGAGGAGGAGGAGGAGGAGGACGGGGAGGAGGGGGAGAGGCGAAGGAGGAGAAGTCAGCGAAGGAGCGAGAGAGGAAGGAGAACCCAAGACGCATCAACGATGTTGGAAAAAACCCTCCCTCCGAGCTCTCTTTTCACAGGCCCCTGCAAGGATTGATATCCACTGAAGGAACTGCTTCGTTGGGAGACAACAACTTGAAGACCCTGAAGCATTCCCCAAAAACATTCTCGGGACTCCAACGCCAGGGATCAACCTGACTGCTGCGCCTTGACGATCCTGAATCGTGCCAGAACACACTTCCTGGGACTTCAACACCGCGAATCAACGCAACAGCTGCACCCTCACAGTCCTGAGTCCTTCCAACGTCTGGTACGCTGCTCAAGGGGATCCGTGAAACTCGTGCAGGGTCGTCCAACGAGTGCGTGCGGCGCTGGAGCGAAGACCGAATCCTGAAAACGAGCCGCCCTCGACCCGGGAAGCGCTCGCAATGTTCTAGCACGGACGTGCCTGGCGCTAATGAAGGGGCCCAGGGACACACAAATAAATACACACAAATGAAAGGATCCCCCATCGTTGTCCATATTTTCTGGGTTTTGTTGTCTTCCCCCCCACTTCCCATATTTTCCCATATTTTCTGGGGAATCGACGACTCATTGTGTCTGTGTGTTTTTTCCCCTCCTGAGCTAAGGCGAGAGCCACCACCACCACCACCACCACTGAGCCGAGCATCTGGCAGGACGCGTGGGCAGAAGAGTGCGCAAGCGGCAACGCCTCGGAAACATACCATAAGGACGACGGCGCGGAGTCTCGACTGTGAGGCAGAA